TAGTGGCACAAATCAAGTTACAGAGGGAAGGTGGTTCTTACAATAAAAGGCCTATAGACTAGTACTTTGTCTATTATAGTGTAGAGGTTAGGAACCACAAGATGTAGAGGCTCAGCTATGTCATTTATGGTTCTTAAGTCCTGGAGCAAATTCCATCTACCACTGGGTTGTTTTACAACTCGGAAGTTCAAATGTAAGGTAGAGGTAAAATAAGGAACTGCTTATGAGGTTTTTCGTCCATTCCAAGAACTAAGAAATAGTGAGACGAGTTGGGACCTCAGAAGGCTTTTAGGACCAATTAGTAGGCTCTGTGTCCGGGAGAAAATGAATATACTTACCAGTAATGTTAATGCTTACCCACAGCTCTTCTGGGAGGGTCTATATCGTTGAAGCTTCATTTCTTTTCTAACTGAGACCAGCTGTGTCTCTGGTTGGAGGATTTGTATTGGTGGCTGGGCACCATCTAGTTCTGCTGGTCTCAGTCTAGAGAATGCTCTCTTCTTACTGGTCATTAATCCTGTGGACTGATTGTTTCCTTGTGTTTTTTATTTTCTTTACTCTTTTTTGCTCCAGGCAGGAAAAGACCAGTAGTGGAATCTTAGATGGCTGCTCACACACTTTTAAGATCCATACCCTAATAAGAAAAGTTGCTGTTGTTGATTGCCATCGAGTTGAGCATGACTCATAGCAACCCTATGAACAAAAGGCCTGAAGCCTTTCGGTAACTATTGACGTTTATCAAGGTTCATAGAGTTTCTGGAGGCATGTTGTTTAGGAAGTGGATGCCACTCCTGCTTCCAAACCTGTCTTAAATGGGGAGCTCCACCACACACTGTCCACCATGGGTAACCGTTATGGCATTTGACACCCCAATGGTACAAAGTTCAGCATCACAACAACCCCAGGTTACCTCAGTACTGCATATTGACAGAAGAGTGTTATACCACTAAGAAGAATGTCCCTCCAAAATACAGTAACAACCAACTTTAAATACAAAGGCCCCCCCTTGTTGACTCTAAACAAGAGGCTTAAATAAAAAAATCAAACCAACCAACCAATAAAAAAATAAAACAACCAACCAACCAACCAACCAAATAGTCTGTTGTTGTTATGTGCTGTTGAGTCACCTGCGATGTGTAGTGACTTTGTGTACAGCAGCTCTGAACCCTTCCCTGTCCTAAGTCAGTCTCACTAATTCTGACACACCAACCCCATAATAAGCAAAGTAGGATGATGTTATCTTTAGGTACTATTGTTATTAGGTGCCGTCAAATCTAGTACGATTCATAGTGAAACTATGTGCTATACCAACAGATCTGAA